CTCCTTCGTGTAATCTTTAGTTATCGGCGTGTTTTCTACAGCCGCAATAACTGTTTGAAGAGGTCCTCCAGGAATTATGTGACCATGCACCAGAGTATCAGGATAAACTTTCTTTTTTAACAAGTTTGCGAAGTCTCTTCCATGGCTGTCACAGAAAAAAGTCAATTTACGTTGCTGATTCTTCTTTCCCTCAATCCGAAGCTTTCCATCTTTGGTCTTGTTATTTCTTTGTGATTTAGAAATGACCTTATTTTTTTGCAAATATGACCGTTTTAGTTCTTGCTGGACATTAATTTCCACAGTTTCAAGTGGTGCAAAACTGTTCTTAACAGTGACCGATTTAGGAACAACTTTAGATCCAGGTTTTGTGAGCTTTTTTGGGGTTTGAAATTGGTTTTCCTGTGTGAGTTGAGTATCATTACTCAGTTTTGCGTTTCTTGTATTTGAGCTTTCTATTTCATTTTGAAGTACTTTTATTATCTCTCTGTAAGACTGTAATTCCTCGGTGAATGTACGTTCAATTGTCTCAACATGATTGTTTAATCTTCTGATTTCCATTGTGAGATTCTGATCTGGTGAGGGACATGGTTGAATGGCTTCCATTAGATGTAGATTTTCTTTTTGAAGTACCCGTAATTTATTTTCTAATAATTTAACTTGTGTGTTCTCTGCATTTTTGTATTCTTGTTGTGTTGGTTTGCTATTTTCTTGTTGTGTTGGTTTGCTATATTCTTGATTAGAGATTTTTATTTTATTTTTTAATGAGGTGTTCTGGGATGACAGATCTTTAATTTGTCTCATGTAGCTGTCGCTTTCGACCTCTGCTTGCTTAATGATGTCTTCTTTTAGTTTTCGTTCAGTTTCAAGTTTATTCTGAAGGAATGTTACTTCAGAGTGTAGTTTTTTATTTCTTTCTTTTAGGTCCTTCATAGCCTCCTCAGCCAGATTAAGTTTGTCTTCGAATTCTAGTTCGTTGTGGGATTTCCCTTGTTTAATTTCGTAAATCTGCTGTTTCAGTTGATTATTTTCTGCCAACAAAGCATTGCCTAATTCAGCAGCCAGAGTCAATGATTCATTTGGATCAAAATTCTCCTCTGATGACAGGTCATGGATCTTTGATTTTAAACTTTCAATTTGATTAACATTTTGATCTGATTTGCAGCTGTCACAGGACCAGGTTTTAATATAATTCTCACGTCTTGTCAGCTGTGACGTCAGTTACAGAGTCAGCAGTGTTGACGTCTACCAGCTGTGTCGTCAAATTGTGTCGTCAGCAGTGTTATTGCCTCAGTCTGCGTCACCTAGTTTGGCTGTGACGTATAGTGATGAGTTGGAATTATGTTGAGGCCAAGTATTCCCTGACTGGCAGTTTATTGAGTTTACAATTATGAGATCCGCCATCTTGGTTTTCTTCAAATTCCATATCTTCCAACTCCATGTCTTCTATTCCACATCTTCCAACTCCATGTCTTCTATTACACATCTTCCAGCTCCATGTCCTCAAATTCCATACCTTCCACCTCCATGTCTTCAAATTCCATATCTCCCACCTCCATGTCTTCAAATTCCATATCATCCACCTCCATGTCTTCAAATTCCATATCGTCCAACTCCATGACTTCAAATTCCATATCTTCCAACTCCATGTATTCAAGATCCATACTTCCAATTACTTGTCTTACAGGTTGATCAAGTTAACAAAATGTAAGGTCACGTTAGTTTACACCAGGTACCTATATATAGTCAATTCTTTTAACAAAGTGTGCAGTTGAAATAACGGTTTGCAAAGTTTAAATGAATTTATTATTTTTAATATCCATGGCAACATAAATCAATAATGGTTTAAATAAGAATCACAAAGGCAAATAAAAGCTATAAAAAATGTTATAAAAGATTTGTTGACCTTTAATACTCTGTGTTAAAAATTCTTTTTCTAGACTAGCTGTGTTCCCGTTCTACGCACGGATAGTGTAGTCAGTTGAAGTCACTGGTTAACTACCTCAACCTAACAATTTAACACTTTATTCTGGTTGACATTTTCATTAACAAAGGTGCTCTTGTCTTTTTCGTGAAACACTGAGAAATAAAGACATTAATGCGTCAACAACAGATACACACAAAAATACAGAAATTAATTAAGTTGGGAATCTTCTACGGTTTAACCATAGCAAAGTACATATAAAATTAGTAAGCGCCGTCAATGAGTGGAAACCTAATTTTTGCAAGCTATTGGCGACAATGATTTAAAAAAAGTACCGTAAGTTTCCCAGCCGTAAACAACACTGATTCGTGGTCTTTTTCCCGGTTATCAAAACTCAAGAACAATTTGATGCACAAAGAATCTCCGGTTCCTGACGTGGATGACGCCTAGTTATTTAATTTAATTTACCGTTACACAATATTGCACTTGCGATTAATTAAATCCGTTATCTAAGTAAAAACTTGTTTAATCTCACTTGGTTTGAATTTTCTTTCAAATCGTGATCCGAAATGGTTACGGTATTTGTAAACAACATAATGTAAACATATCAGTGACGGCTAGAAAAAATAATCTTGATCCAAACTAACAGCTTTTTGTTATTTCATAGATGACGTATGTGATAAACATTAGGAAAAATCTTAGGAAACTGGGGGAAAACGCACAAAATTGGGTTTTTGAACGTCCGTCATTTTATTTACAAAGTAGTGAGGCCATATTTTAATGGCTAAAGACACTCTCGCCAATCATGTGAATACATGAAAATTATTTCAATCTTGATAGGTACTCTCATTTTCCTGGAGAAGATAGCGTAAATGCCATCTTGAGTGTTGCAGACAGACAGAAATAGAGATAAGACTAGTTTCTGCTTCTTTAATGTATAAAACGTAAAAATAACCAAAAAATATTTAATTCTGAGCAATGTACAGACAAAATTCTAATTTTATTTATATAGCATTATATAATCTTTTTCTAACACCTGCCCCACCAAATTACCAAATATTAGAGTAGAAGAGAATTTTGAAATTGGCGCACTCTTTGAGTGACTATTCCAACTATTGTCATTGACCATAACAAAGGACCATAAGGCTGGGAATACACTATCATAGTTCTATGACATTTATCTATTACCAATTGTCTTTGATGAAAAATTATAGTGTAATGGACCAACTACTATTCAGTATGATATTGTGTCTATGATAATCCTAAAACGATCGTTGTTGACGTAATCAACATGTGGAGCCCAGCTAAGTTTGTAGTCAATTATGACCCCAAGGTATTTGTAATTTTCGACTTGCTCAATGATTTCACAATGGCACGGCGCTGCCCATGGACCCCCGCAGCCGTGCAACCTGAGTACTCTATGGCCCGGACCACTGTCGCATCTAAAGTAAATGGGCAGACATTTGGTCTTGGACACATTTAAGGATAGTATGTTGTGGTCAAACCATAGTTTGAGCTTGCCCAAGTCGGAGGACACCCTGTCATCCAAGTCCTTAAGTCATCCAAAGTCTCTTAAGAAGAGTTCCATTCTTTTGCCCAAGCATTAATACTAAAAATCCTAATCATCATGTTAATATACTTAATGAATCAAATTTAATCAAATATAGCCTGCTTTCTCAGAGTTCTATTCAAAGTTTTCTTATTTCAATTTATAAAATATTTAGATTTTACAGTAACAAAGGCTTATTTTAAAGAGTAAGGGTCCCCTAACACCCAGGTTAAGGGTTAAGGGTTTCCTAACACCCAGAACCCAGAAAATTCCAATATAAGCAAAACTTTAAGCAAGGCTGCAAATCGCATGAAAGCATCGGAGCAAGTAGGGTAAGCAAGGTTGCCAAATGTAAGCTTCTTCCGTCTGTAAACAGTGATTCCCTACTAATTCGGCAATCAAAAAAAGTAAAATTATCTGTATCCATGAATTGATTGTTGTATCCTTTATAGGAAAAGCAGTTCAACGATTAAATCACTATCGTCAGTCCTTATACAGGGTGATTGAAAAGTCTGGGTACGGCTTAATATTTTAAAATATAATGCAGATTGAGCTACAATACTTGGTACAAAGTTACAGGGCATAAAACTCTATTTTAACACATATTCAGTGATCCAATAACTCTTCAGGGGGACGGCCCACAAGGAGTCGGAAGAAAATCTTAAATGAAAGCATAGGTCAATATGCACATCAAATTAAAGGTCTTTTTTAGTAGAATACAATGCCGCAAACCGCACTTCAAAAGGTTGATCCTGCGCAAAATGACAGTTGTTCAAAGATTCATTTAATTTACATTGCTATTATACGCTTACTCCTCAGGGGCACAGCCCTAGGAATCGGAAGAAAATTGTTAACGTAAGCATAGGTCGATATGCACATCAAATTAAAGGTCTTCACTAGTAGATTACGATACCGTAAATTCAAGCTCAAAAGAATGCCTGAGTAAAAAATGACAGTCGTTCAAAGATTCAAAATGGCGGATTCAAGAAATCTTTGAACATCTGCCATTTTGCGCAAGATCAACCTTTTGATATACGGTTTGCGGCATTGTATTCTACTAAAAAAGACCTTTAATTTGATGTGCATATTGACCTATGCTTCCATTTAAGATTTTCTTCCAACTCCTTGTGGGCCGTCCCCCTGAAGAGTTATTGGATCACTGAATATGTGTTAAAATAGAGTTTTATGCCCTGTAACTTTGTACCAAGTATTGTAGTTCAATCTGTATTATATTTTAAAATATTAAGCCGTACCCAGACTTTTCAATCACCCTGTATAAGATCTTGGTCTTCCCCATACATGTGTGTTTTGAAGTTTAAAACACATAGGCCTACATACACAAACATTACACATAAAAATGAATTAATTAAAAAAATTAATAGCGAGAAAAAAGAAAAAATGTTGATAAAATAAAAACCATCTGTAAACACAGAACAACAACAACAAAAAATGCTGTAGTTTGGGCTGCGTTTTCAAAATTACCTTGTATTAGAAAGTTTAAGTTCAAGGGGTCGTTGAATTTAATTACAGGCTCTAAAGTACGAGGAAGAGTATCCCAGTGCATTGATGGAGTTCACACGTGCATATGAGTTGAACCCTTCTTGGGAGACTCCAAGCAAGAACCTGCGTCAGATGCTGCAGTATCTAGACTCCATCATGGACCTGCTGCAAGCCAAGGGACGTCTGAAGGCCAAGAAACTGCAGTCTTTGCTGCAAGTGAGTATACTATGGAAACTGTACATTCCATCTCTAAGTGAGAATAAAAAAGTATTTTAATTGTACCACCGACAGAGTGTGGTAAAGTAAATTTACTGATTTCTGTCAAATATGCAAATTTCTCTAAAAAAAGACAAAATTTTTTGTAAAATGTAGCATCTTTTATATTCTGACACACAAACTATAGTCTGTCCACAAAATTTAGGCGGTTCAAGTTTCGAGGGAGTTCTTCCCCTAAAACAACTAAAATTTTGTGACTGGAATATATATAGTTTTAGAATGTAGGGAACTCTTTGAGTGGTTCCAACAAGCCTAACCCTACCATTCTCAGACGACCTGTCGCTAAACTGTTCACGGCAGAAAATAGATAGTTTTTTTGCCGCACGATATATTTACCATTGCGAGTCGAAAGGTATGTTAAAATCAATAAAAACATACTTAGCTTGGATTAAATAAATATATAGGATGGAGAAGACACAGCTAACTCACCTGATGAAAGGTTGCAGTCAAAGAACACATAAAATCACACACATAATAGTGATTTTATGTGTTCTTTGACTCGTCTGCAACCTTTCATCAGGTGAGTTAGCTGTGTCCTCTCCATCCTATATATTTATTTAATCCAAGCTAAATGCTTTTTCCTGAAAACATAACCCTAAAAACATACTTAGAGATGATCAATATTTTTCAGTTCGAGGATAAAAAAAATTTTGATGGATTTACAACTTATGAAAGTTATCTCTAAGAACCATAACTTACTGTCATTATCCGTCTATATTGTAGATTGTGCGGTTAACAGTTTGACACGTCCTCTCTAACCAATTGTCCCGTTGCAGAGCATAGAAGACAAGCAGTTGGGTCCATATGAAGGAGGCCAATATACCTCAGGTGGCCAGACAGTCAAGCTAACTCTGCAGCCTTTGTCCAGCCTCAAGGCCGGTCTAAACTGTGAGGTCGTTATTCTGGGAAAAGTCATATGCAGCGTGAGGAATGAGGACATTGTGCCTTTGTGAGTTGTTAAATATCGGATTATCATTTATCATATCACTATCACCTTAGCCTTTCGTTAATTCACACAAGAAACCCCCCTAACACCCGCTATGAGAAAGTCTTAAAAACCTACTTTAATCAAAATAAGGGTAAAATAATTTACAAAAAATTATCCTTTTTGATTTAGGTATCGATGATATAATACTTTTGCATACATTACAAAACCATACTTTACGTAACCAATCTTTTATTTACGTATGGAGCTATATCTTTGGCTACTTTGTATGAAAAGTTTTTGAGTAATCATTGACTATTGATACAACTAGACATTCCATCCCTATGTTAAAGTTGTCGCAAATTTGTTAATCAAAATTGTAGTTGATGTGAGCCACCGACAGATTGTGCTGATCTAAATTACTCATTTCTGTTGAACACAAGAACTTTTTTACCAAGCCAAACTAAAATGGAATGACCTATAAGTCCATATACTTACTTACTTACTTACTGCTGTGGCCACTGGTACCCTAGATGGTACTTGGCCTCCCCAACACACTGCCTCCTTAGGTCTCTGCTTCTTGCATCTTCCTTCCTTCTCCCTAGCTTCCTCAGGTCTTTCTCCACTTGGTCGAACCATCTAAGTTTCGGTCTTCCAAGGGGTCTTCTACCTTCTGGGTTATTCCTCAAGATGTTCTTTGATAGGGAGTTGTCATCTTTTCTTAGAATATGCCCTGCCCATCTCAGTCTTCTGCTCCGTACCTCAGCGACAATATCTGGATCCTTAAATAATTTTCTTAGTTCCCAATTATGTCTTGATCTCCATTGTCCATCCTCAAAAATCGGTCCGTACACTTTCCTCAAAATCTTGTTCTCAAATACAATAGCTTTCCTTTCTGATGTCTTGCTTAAGATCCAATTTTCTGAACCATACAGGAGAACTGGTCTGATGATTGTCTTATAAATCCTGAGTTTGGTGGTGTGGGATATTATTTTTGAAGTTAGTAACTTGTGATAGGCCGAAAAACTTTTTTGTGCTAGGTTTAATCTATTTTGTATTTTTAGCTCTTCATCATAAGTCCATATAGAGACACATAAAATAAACACCACAAAAGTAGAATTTTTTTTCAACCACTGGAGAAATGCTCCACCTTTTATTTTATGTGTCTCTATAGACTTATTTAAAGATAAGCCCGCTTTCTTGTCAATTTCCTTAATAATTCCTGACAAATGCCCTATCTTTTTATCAGATAACCTTAAATGGAATTACTTATTATGCATTAGTTTTGTTTGACCTATCCACTTGGTCAGCAACATAAAACCGTAACCAAAGTTGGCAACTCTGGCTGCTCCATGTAAATGGAAAGTCTACTTTCAGTATCCATTTGTCAATGATTCAACATACTTCCATAGTAGATTTGTCATCCTTATAGATCAGCTTATGACAATTTTAATGTTTGTTTTTTGTTGTTTAAGGGTACTGTTTTTGTTTCCAATTTGTTTCTTGCTTTTTCAGTTATGTAAATACTAGCTGTAACCCGCGGACTTTGCCCCGTTTAACTTCTTAATTTTCAAGATTATCTCGTTCGCATGGCTCAATCACGTCCTGGTTGAAGTTTGTTCGCTACGCTCACTCACCTTTAGGTTGGAGCTGGTTCGCTGCGCTCACTTGCCTTCAGGTTAGCTCGTTCGCTACGCTAACTCGCCTCCAGGTTGAAGTTCGTTCGCTACGCTCACTCACCTTTTGGTTGCAAATTAGCTGTTGTCATAAATGTAAAAGAAATAATAGTGCTGCACCCTGTTGGTAATCCTTGTAACTTTCATGCTATTGAACATCATAGAACAGAACCAACTTGTTTAATTGAAACAGCTGTTAAGATTCAATAATTCCAATTCTCATAAGGTTAACATGGGAAACTCCAGAGCCACTGGGGCGGAGCCCGAAAGGATTTTTGAAATAAGAATATGCCTATATGTTAATCGGGAATGTGAGCTATCATCATGCCAAATTTCAGCCCAATCCGACCAGTATTTTTCGCGTTCACTTGTCACAAACATACATCCATACATCCATCCATCCAAACTTTCTCATTTATAATATTAGTAGGATTAGTTTAACAAAATGAAACAATCTAATTATAAGCACTAGCTTATCCTTTTGTTTTATAACCGAAAAGTTAAGTACAAATTATGAACTCATCATAAAATATGATCAACAAAATTTTGTCAACCCTAGCGTCCAAAGTCACCAACGTGAACTAGACTTTATTTTGACGAGAGCTGCAATCTGGAATTCATGTTTAGAATTGCTACGCTTGGACTTTAAGCTGACCAGTATTGTTGTGGTAGAACATCAAGTCAGACCAATGGCTGAGTGGTTTAACGTGCTGTTTCTCCGTCCGAGAAACTGTAGATTGAAGCTTCAATACAGAAAGAGTAATTCTTACATTACCAACACAACCTCTATATTTAAATAGTACCTTTAAATGTGCATTGGGAACATTACAATATATTTCTGTTTTGTAGGCTATTCTTCTTTTTTACCACCGTCCACAGTTTATTCTTTCTGCTTCTTGCCACTTTACCGTATTTCACCTAATCTTGCACAAATCTTACCTACGAATTATTTCTCCAAATTTAGTTTTATCCTCCAAGAGCGATTTTTGTTGCACTTCTATCCTTATTTGATAGGAACAGTATTGTACAATGAAGTGTATGGTTTCAGCACGTTCTGCCTGATAGACAAGCAGAAGAATGTGTGCGCAGTGACTGTTTACAACATAGCGGAAGGTCAGGGCGTTATCATCGGTGACTCAGTGGCCATCCCTGAACCTTACGTTACCAACGTGTGCTTCTCCTACGGCAGCAGAGTAAGTCAATCAGATATCAGGATACAGTCTTGATGGTCGTAATGTAAACAAATCTGTAGAGGCAACTTTAAAGGCTTCTGGGGCAGAGCCCCAAGGGAATTTACCTCGTTCCTCTTTTGATGGCTCATCTACAGACCAAGACCTTTAGATACCCCTACCAAGTTTCTACGCCCAGCCGTTCTCTCAAATTAGCTATGACAAAAACCCTGTTTTCCTCCATAAGAATAACATGGGATAGGAATTTAAAGGCCACTGGGGCAGAGCCCCGAGGGAATTCACCATGTTTCTCTTTTGATGGCTCATCTACAGACCAAGACCTTTCTTTAGACACCTCTACCGAGTTTCTACACCCAGCCGTTCTCTCAAAATAGCTATGACAAAGAAAAACAGTTTCAAATTAATATATAGATTGAGATTTGCCTGTATAATTAGCATGGTTCGTGTGTTACTGTTTTTATAGTAGATTTTGAGACCCACATTATTCCGTTGTATTCTCCTCGTGGCGAAGCACGGGCAGAACAACTAGTAATCCAACATTTTGTTACAGAAATATTCCTACTTGAGCATCAGAGTAGATAACCCGCTAGTCATGGTTGTCAACGGGAAGAAATTGGGAAGAGATAAACTTGCTGGAACCCAGATGTCTACCAGTCCGATGACTCACTAGCGAAAATGTGACTTACTACTGCCACTGCCCTACCTGGCTCAAACTGTAGGATTGTTACGGTAATAGCTACTAACTATTAAAAAGACTGACTATTAACATTTTGCTTTAAAACTAATGTAGATGCAGAGACATTGTGTTATTTTGAATAATGTAGAGACTGTTAAGTTGGCTCATTTCTTCTTTAGAGAAGTATTTTCTTAGATCGTACTACAATAGTTTTTGTTTTTTGTTCTTAAAAATTTTACTTTACTTTGTAAAATGATTCTCAATGGCAAAAATACTCAACATAATTGATAGGGGTGCATTTAAGTATATAAATCATTAAAATTTGTTTACTCATCGCTTGTTTCATTGTTTTTCAGTATTATTTTTAGAAATATAAATGTAAGCATCTTTTGTACCAATATGAAACATTGTCATTTCTTGCAAAAAAATTCAAAGATCGGATATTTGATTTGGTTAAACATGTGAACTATGCAATTTTTAATCAAATGTTGATCCAAATCTTGATCATATTACTATCTATAAATATCTATGTATTGTTTTTTGTTCACATACTTTTAAGCACCAAAGCATCCTCAAATGACCATAAACGCACACTCTGGTAAGCTCTACAGCGAATAATTATTACTAATTTAATATTTTAAGTTATTACTGCACAGTATTAACATAAAACCAGTGTCATAGATATATTTAGCACTAATATGTTACCCTTCGTTAACATAACCTTGCTTTTTCCATCTGTTTGTAGAAAACACATGGGGGTGTTTATGAAAATGGTTTAATAGTAGTTAACGCAACGATCGCATAAAGACTATTTACCCGAGTTGTGTGCTACTTTACCTACGATCGTTTTTTAAATACTAACAATCACTACTCATAACTTCTAAGAGAGGTTATGTTTATGTTTATTACCTCTCATTGCCCACTGATAGTGATATAACGACTCATTAAATAGGTAATAGCTGATAAGTTGTAAAAGCATTACAATTTTACTTCTTTTCGCTCAATCCTTGAACCTCATTGGTCCATTACTAGTGCTGTAAAGTAAAAAAAATGTGGTTAAGTAAGTAAACAATGCAGTAAAGTGAATCTTTTATATTTTTAGAACTGAATTGAAAAAGCCAGTTTAAAAAATGGTCGTAGGTCAAATATTATCAATTTAGTAATTTGTTTAAAATATGTGCCTTTTAATAACCATAAATCTAAATACTTCTAAAGGTTTTTCTCAAGTGATTATATTTTGTGATTGTTTAAGACACGAGCTATAAATAACATCTGGAGATAGCAACTTTGTGAATAAAAAAATAACCAATGGTTTGAATACTGTCCTGATAATTATTGGTACCTAGCTTTTAAAAATGTCTAAAAAAATTGTTTAACTCAATATAAAAAATAATATTTTTAAACAAAAAGAAGTCATATGTTTACAATGAATATACAGGGTGTCCCGGAACTCTCTACCAATATTTTAGGGCATTGCTCCTGGATAAGAAACATACCTAAATATCATATTTAAATTGTCCGGAAGTCCTTAGTTACTCACACAGCCGCCATTTTGTTTTTTCCAGTTATTAATTTTTTTCTAAAGAATGGTTAAACATACGGAATGGAAACTTTGCACAAACATTAATGACAACTAGACAAAGCTACAAAAAAATTATGAAGATTTTTCTAATTCATAAAACAAAATGGCGACCATTTAAAATGTTGTTTCTTAAATAGCTCAAAAACCGTTGATTTTATAAAAATTTTAAATGGCCGCCATTTTGTTTTATGAATTAGAAAAATCTTCATAATTTTTTTGTAGCTTTGTCTAGTTGTCATTAATGTTTGTGCAAAGTTTCCATTTCGTATGTTAAACCATTCTTTAGAAAAAAATGTATAACTGAAAAAAACAAAATGGCGGCTGTGTGAGTAACTAAGGACTTCCGGACAATTTAAATATGATATTTAGGTATGTTTCTTACCCAGGAGCAATGCCCTAAAATATTGGTAGAGAGTTCCGGGACACCCTGTGTAATATGAAAATTCAATGACGCCTAATTAAACACAATTATTATTTCACTAGGCCAAATCAAAATCAAACGAATAACAGGCAATATATATAGCAACTAATAATGATCCCAAATTGACTAACTGTCGCTCAAAGTCTTCTGTACAGTGCTACTCCAGATGTAATTGTAGCTAAATGTGACAGGAATTTAGTTTATGTTTTAGTCCTAGATATAGTTTATTTTATAAATCAAAAGTTTGTAACAAAATTGTGATAAGAATTATTTCTTTAGTTTTATTAGTGATTGTTACTTAGAACTTAGTGTTAGGTTTTTGTTGTTTCTAATGAATTTTTTTTTTCCAATTAATTCAGAACTCAATTTTCACTTAGATTTTTGTAGTCTAAAAATTCAATTTATTTGTCGTCGTAACAGTCAAGACAGTCATTATGTTATAAATTAAATATATTAATATTTCCCTATATTAGATAAGATTTCAATTTATGCTTGTAAAAAGAAATGTGTAAAAAAACAATCTAACTATAGTTTTTAATACGATGGATTGGTTATATTAAATCATGATATCGAGGCGGAATTTGCACAGATTGATTTCAAAATAACGGCCAGTAAGCCTACATTTCACGAAATAGGCCTACATCTTGCTTTATTAAAGTGATTGATAAACCGGTAACTGTATAGTTTAACAATTATTTATTGGTTAATAGAATTATTAAATTTAAACTTTAAAACTTATAAAAAACTGGCGGCAATAAGAAAATTTATGTTCCATGTTATGATAAACCTTGTTTGAATGGAGTCAAGATCTTGTAGGTTTAGAGATAAGACTAAATTATAGTCAAGTAGTAGGAGTGGCTTAATCTTCAGTTAAAAAACAAACAAATACATTATCTCTCTATTTTGATAAACCTAAAAAAAATTAAAACTTTCTCTATTAACACTATACACCTAATACTTAACAGTTATTTGCTGTGCTTGTAATCTAGAAATTGAGGAGTTTAACTAAAACATTTTGTTTAGTTACAATTCCTACTTTTGTTTATTTTCTTACTTTCTACGCTTGTAGCATTTTCAAAGGAGGAGGAAACAGAGGTGAACAAATACGTTTTCGGAAAGCTGTCCTAACCCATATGTTTTGTGGTTGTGCGGAATCGAACACGTTCCTCTAGCACCTAAGTCCAAGATGCTAACACACCCAGTCTGGCGAGTATAATTTGCCACCCGCTCAAAAAAAGCAACCTATACTATAAAAAAATCAAAAATTAAAAAAGTTTATCTTTGCGGTGGAATGGTGAGGATAGGTCGCCGGGTGCCATTTTCCCGACTGCACGAATGGCAACCTATACTCGCCGAAAAAATGAAAAACAATTCGACCTCAAAGAGTTAAAGGAGACTAGCAGCATAACCTGGCTTTGCCAACACAACCATAACTAACCAACATTTTAATAATATGTTGACGGACAGACATTCAAACATAAAGAGAACTATATCAACACGCAAACCACTTATAACTTACCGGTACTCAATTAAGCAATTAGTTTTCTGAAAAAAATATTTCTCTAACATGAGTTCAAATTTCCACAGCATAAACTTATATTTACTACGAAACTAGATTATTCGTAAGTGGTTAGGATATATAGTTAAAAAATACACACCTCCTGAAAACGCAAATATTATGGTGAGAAAAAACTTCATCTAGTAACATTGTAAAGATATGTAATTCCGACAATCAGTATTTTTGTAAACAACTTATTATGTAACATTTACATTTAAGTGACAGTTTGAAACCAGCTGTTAGTTAAACAAAATTACATTGAAACAAACTTAAATGTTGTCAAACGCTAGAATCGGCTACTAGACTTTTTTAAATTAAAACTAAAAAGTGAATGAAAAAGAGTTTGATAGTGTAAATTATTTCTGGTAAAATCATATTTTCAAAAAAAACAAAAAATACCAATGAGTACTATGTGTATGGTTCTATCAGATTTGATATATTTAGTTGATGTCAGTAGTATTTATTTATTTTAGTTTGGTGCTTTCCAATTTTTATTTTAGGTCTTGTAAGTTTTCTATTGTGAAAACCTAAGTTTTTCTTAGATTAAGATAACATTCCATTGTGAGTTGATAGGTTAAAAGATAGTTTACTGTTATTATAAATTGTATCAAATGTTGTTGTACAGGATGGATTTATAAGTGCTGATATTTTTGTCATGTAATGACGCAGAAAACCTACCCCGGTTTCAACCAAACCTGGATACTCAGAAAAAATTAAATCTTTTACTAATATACTGATAGTAAGTGGATCATTTTATCCTAAAGTTTCCATTGTTTAATAATCATCTTTATCATTGAAATATTTACTACTCTACTCTCATTATTGTAATTAGTGGTTACAATTTCATATTTTATTTGTTTCATTAAATATAAAACTTTACCAAAAAGACTATACCAAATGACATTTAGGGTCGAAGGTTGTAGCAAAATACCTATGTCCAAGACATTTTTTTCAAAACCAATAACGTAAAAAGATGTTAGTTTGTAACGTGGCTATATTGAGGGGGGGGGGGGGGGTCAAACTAGCCTATTTATCTGTCTAGCCTATCCCTAGGCATAGCCTACAATTCCTAACTAAGGTTATAGGTTAGAGGGCTAACCTTAGTTATAACCTCTCTAGTTATTATAGGCATGATACACCGTTGTGTTTGGTAATAAATAAGTGCAGAACGAGAGTTATTAATTCTGTATTAGCGTGTATAAACCTTATACAGAGTTTTATAGCTTATTGACTCACCAGCGATGTGTTTTGCAAGCTAGGGCTCAACCCGGCTTAGTACTTCGACGACCCTTTCTATACTTAGTAAACCCGCAGATCGCGGCTTAGGTCAATAATCCGTTTCAAAGGCGTGAGGAAATGCGGTGTGAGTAATGTAAACCGCCAACTTGAAGTTAAAACTCATTGTCATGTGAAACAAACACAACATAACCTACAGTCAACACAACAACAACAAGTTTGAGTGTCTATTTGGTGGCTGCAGACGAAAGCCGCCGGCTAGCTTTTTTCGGGTTAGCAAACAGCAGACGTCCAGGATCAGCTGAGCCCCCTACTTTGCTAGAGAGAGGAGCGAGAGGGATGATCCGAGGAACCTTCAGGTGACAGGAAGACAGGAGTCCCTGTAACAAGCAGAACACCCATATGACACAATGGGAACGACAGGTGTCCCCGCAAAGAGCAGGATACCCATACAACGACAGTGACAGGGGTCCGTGCGATGAGCCGGATTCCCAGGTGCTGAACAAGAAAACGATTTCGGGGGTGGCGACTAGTGTCCATGGAAGGCCACCACGTCCCACTGCGGTGGAAGGGGCAGTGAGCGGTCCGTGAGGATTATTCCGGACTACGGTGACATCTGTGTGATAAACCAGATGATCGAGATCTCTGACTCGGTAAACCTCATCCAAGGCGACGGCACGGCTGAGTGTGAGAGTAACATCTTGACGCGAACCCTGGAAGGCCAACCCAAATCTCCGTACTGAGGCCTATCCGGAAACTAAATGTGCTGTATAACACGTGGTACTTGAACCTGGCATGTAAACTAGTGATGTATGTTTCAATGTGAAAAAGTACGTCACAAGATTGAATTGACACATTCACTACTGGATTTCACAAAAGTCTTCATACAGAGGAGTGTGACAGCTGGTATTTTCTCCCTAAGAATAACATGGGAACTTTGAAGGCCACTGGGACAGAGCCCTGATGGAATTCTAAAGTTTTTTTTGTTTTATGGCAAAACTACATGCTAAGACCTTTCTAGCGACACCTTGAACATGGTGATCGGTAGCACCACCGCTCCAAAACAATTATGACAAAAATATGCCTAGCGTATTAAATATATAGATAAATGGACACTAGAGTTACAAAACCAAACTTTCACTTACAGCTTTTAATGTGAGTACAACTCAAGAAAAACATAATTTCATAACATTTCCCCTCTCATTTTCTAAAAATATCCAAATTACTCTTCTAACAAGTTTTTAGTAGACATACACCAAGTTTGGACAGATAATGTTGCATCAGAGATACATCTATCCCTTCAACTTGCACCAGAGCCATCAGTGGCGGTTTAAAGGGGCAGGCTACAGGAGCTAAAGCCCCCCTCCATTGTACCCTGGAAGAATATATCCAAACATACATTTTGTCCTAAAAAAGTAACGGAGGTTTTTGGATACAGTTCTAGACGTTAAAAAATGCTTAAGAAAGTCACCTGCTTTAAAAAAAAAAAAAAAAAAATCCAGGAGAGGACCCCTGAAACCCCCTCTTCCTTGGGGGGTGTTAGACATCGGCTCCCCCCTTGACAAGGTCCTAGAACCGCCATTGCAAGCCATTTACCTTTTATCTCAGATGATAGACCTCTTCCATTAACTCTAACACAGACAGGATAACTCCTCAGGAGCTGCACATTATCTGAACAAGGATTTGAGCTATT